ATTGAGACAAAAGATACACATCACCTCTCACCCCTACCATCTAGCTCGACCAAGCATCCAAGAAAAGAGAGAAGCTCAAAAATATCATCCTCCATTGCTGCATAATTCGACCGCAAGCAATACGAGTTCAAGGAGGAAGATTAAAGAAGGAAAAAGTTAGGAAAAGTGTGAAGGATTAAGGTAATGACCTTATAATAACTTTTCCTCTGCTTCTTAGCTATCATATGACTTATATATCATATGGAGGACCCCTAGGATTATTCTACATGTTTAGAAGTGTAGAATGACGGTTAGAAGGTAGTTCTAAGCCCAAGAACGGACCTAGAAGCCAAAGTGGCCGGTTCGCCGGAAAAATAACCTTTTAGAGGTTATTTGTATTGATATGGGTTTTGTGATGATGAAACCATGTTAGGAACTTGTCTAAGGTGTTCCTAGCACTTTCACGGTGTTGAAAGAGTTGCCGGAGTTGTCGCCGGAGTTCTTCAAAGTTCGTCGGAGTTTCGCCGGAGTTCAACCGTGAAGGGTAGAACTTCTTAAAAGCTCATTCAAGGTGAGTGGATGGCTTAATGTCCTGTAACTCTTGGGTTAAGTATGAGATTACCTAAGTAAATGCTATATGTGTTCATAATGATGTTTAAAATGGTTTAAACATGTGATTAGCCAAGATGATTAGGCTTATATGAGATGAACCATAATGATTATGCATGAAAAATGATATGAAAATGATATAAAAACATGTGTGATGTTTTGGATGGCCAAAATGACAAATATTGATTGTTTAAGACTTAATTCATGTTTGGGTTAAGTTTCGGATCAATCGGAGTCGGTTCGGGTGGTCAACGGGCCGTTGACCGCAAAGAAGAGAGTGAATCGGCGCAGGTTTAGGCTATAACCGGCGCCGGTTTGAGTACGGGGCAGCCAAATTAATTAAATTAAATATGAACCGGCACCGGTTTGGGCTATAACCGGTGCCGGTTTGGTGATGTTTTGTCCCGAATGTTGATTTTTGTGCATAGTTTTGCATGGATTGTTATGCTTAGACTATAAGACTTGGTTTAGTCTTGATAAATGATTATGATATAGGCCCTATCTATGTTTGATAAGCGGTAGATCATAGAAATGAACGTAAGATGGTGGAGAACCTAGGGACGACGATACTGTCCTCAAAACTCGGTAGATAAACGGTGGAGACACAATGATGACGATACTGTCCTCAAAACTCGGTATATAAACAGTGAAGACCCAGGGACGATGGTACTGTCCTCAAACCTCAAATGTATAAATGGTGGAGACTCAAGGACGACGGTACTGTTCTCAAACCTCGGCATATAAATGGTGGAGACCCAGGGACGACGGTACTGTCCTCAAAACTCATATGTATAAATTGTAGAGAATCCAAGGACGACGATATTGTCCTTAAACTCGTATGTATAAATTGATTTGGACCAGGAGGAGTCTTATACACACATAGGATATGGATGAGTTGGAATTTAAGTCAAGGATATTGACTACTATGATTTTTCCCAAATAAACAATGACCTACGGGTCGGGTATTTCCAAGTGTATATATATATATATATATACTGATATGTATTTTATAACTTGGGGGAAAGTACTATACGTGTATGTATCACCCTATGTTTGGGTCTTATACTTGAAGCGTTAGTTATGCTACATTTAGCTTGCTACTCGCTCGGTACTTGTACAGACCCCTTCGGGGGGGCACCATTTTTCAAGTTGAAGCTAGGGCTTGCTATCTGCACCTTCTTACGGGTGAAGTCAATTCAAGCTTTCAAGGAAGACGTGGTTCGTGCTTCCTTATTTCCTTTCAAACTACCAAATACTTGCTCATGTATATTTGATTTACTATAAACTATTTTGGGCCTGTGAGCCCATGTTTTGGCCGGTTGTGGCTCATGCTTTATCGTTGAATATTTCCGCTATTCATTGGTTTAAATGTGATGTTGTTATGTATGTTTACTAAGTATGGATGGATTATGTTCATGGACGCCTTGTATGATTAAGTCACGCTGACTTGCGAGTGACGTCACTTGGTCATACGACTGTTGTACACGCGCTTAGATGCGATCTGGGGCGTGACAAGTTTTGATTTTTTTTTTTACGATCAGAGTTCAAATAAAAAAGTTATAGCATTTTAAAATAAACATGGGATTTTATTTTGTGGGGCCCTAACAATATACCAAGTAGGGTTGGATTCGGTTCGGGCCACCCGGCCCGTGACCCGGCCCGGCCCGGTACTGTGCGGGCCCGGGACCGGCCCGGTCGGGCGGTCCGGAACCGGGTATGCACCCGAACCGGTGGGAATGGGCGGGGGCGGTCTCGGTGCTGGATTAATGTGACCCGGCCCGGCCGGGTCAGGCCCGAGCCCGGGTCCGGTCTTATTTAAAAAAAAAATTGTTTGGACTCTTGGGCTACTAGCCGTTGGGGGTGGGGCTGGGGACAACCCAAACGGCTATATAGCTGTTGGGTGGGGTAAAGGGGGGGTCCGGGGGGTTGGCTGGTGGGGAGGGTGGGAGGGTGGGGGGTAAAAAAACCTATAAATACTCCTAATCTTAAACATTTTTTCATATCTCTTCTCCAATTCTTCTTAAATCCTATTCTTAACTCTCTACTCTCTAATTCTCTTATTCTCCAATATATTATATTTATTATTTATATATCTACTTTATAGTTTATACTTAAGAAGTTAAGATGGAAAATCAAGATGCCATTATACGGTATAATTTTGATAAGCAGAAGGACCCGAAGATCGGGATGTGGTACGCAATTTGCAAATGGTGCGAGAAAAAATGTAGCATGGGCGTTTCTGACGGATTCGGAATGACAATCAAGCATATGAAGTCATGTGACAAAGCAAAAGAATCGGGAGGTGCGGGAAGTTCCGATTGATTACAATTTTCAAAATGTTTATCTCTTAAAGTTTGTTTTAATTTTCAAATGTAGTTCCTATTTCATTTCAAATAAATGCAATTGAAGTTTGTTTTTAATACTCGCATAAAACTATAAATTATAAAAAAAAATTAACCGGCCCGGCCCAAACCGGACCCGACCCGTGACCCGGGCGGGTGACCCGGCCCGGACCGGACCCGTCCAACCCTTGGGCCGGTCCCGGGCCCGGGCCCATGTCATACTACCCGGCGGCCCGACCGAGCCTCGGCCCGGCCCGAGTCCATCAATAATACCAAGGAGTTTAATAACATAGGTAGGTGACTTCTAAAAATATACCTATGAAATTATGAAAATATTGTGGTGAAATAGAACTTTTAAGAATATAGATATAAATACAGATATAGATTTACTCCGTGTTTAGAATAGTATCCATATTAAGAGGATCACATGACACGTGATTTAACAAACTAAATTTTCAAAATTATATAATTAATTTGAAAAGGCATAATAAAACAATTGTTACTTTTCATATGGGAAAATTAGCAAGCAACATATCCTAAATTGTTTTCGTGTTTAATTTTTAGGAAAAATTGAAAATAATAATCCCAACTATTGCCGATCCGCTAACAATAATCCCAACTATTGCCGATCCGCTAACAATAATCCCAACTATTGATTATTTTTGTATAATTCCAACTATATGGACCGTCCGCCAATAATGTTCCATGACCACATATTATCTGCTCTAACAAGTGAATTTTTAATAGAAATTATTAAATTAAGTGTAAAAAATAAAATTTGGGATTATTTATAGAGATTATTGTTATATCTCTTTAGAAACTATACAAATTCATTTATAGTCGGTCACGTCGGACCATTATTAGCAGAAGGTCACTAAAGTTGAGATTATTCTGAAATAATCGATAGTTGAGATTATTATAAGCGAACCGCCAACAGTTGGGATTATTACAATCAATTTTTCCTAATTTTAATGAATCCCCATTACAATGTTTTTCATCAAAAGATGACTATTTTTAAGAATACCATTACAAAGTCGTGGTTAAAGATTTAACCTGATCAAAACTTTTAGTCTTTTAGGCAAAAAATTGATGGTTAAAAATCTATTACTCCGTACAAAAGAAACGGGTAAAAGAGTGCAGATAATAATCAAAAAATAAGAGAACACAACTTTAGGCCGTCAGGTCAATGGGTCAAATAATCATTTTCATGCTTTCACATAAGAATGCACCCGGTGTGCGATCCCGGACCGTTCTGGAACCGGGTCCTGTACTGTTTGGGACCGGACCGGGTCCAATTTTCCGATTCCTGGCTAGGACCGGGTACCCAACCGGGTAAATAAGGACCTAGACCGGAGCTTCGATTTTGGGGACCAAATCGGGTGGTCCCAATCCCAACGGGCAATTTCCAATAATTAAAAAAAAAGGACCGAACCAAGACTGGCCGAGTAGACCGGACCGAAACTAGGTCCAGAGATAACCGGATCAGTTCCGGTCTTCCATTTCAAAAACCGGGACCGGCCGGTTCTGGGACCGGAACCAGATCCGGGACCAACCGCTTCCAGGACCAGAACCGGGTCTAGGACCGGCCAAATCCGGGACCGAAACCGGGTCCGGATCCATCCCTACTTTCGCATAACACGTGATGGTAAATCTCCAATGTTTCATGATTTCATCATTATGTTGATTAGACATTTTGTTTTAATAAATACGGAGTAATAAATAATCAATTATAACTTTTATCTAATGATATGAGACTTGTTTCCATATCTTTAAAACTCAAAATTAACGTCTATGGATGGATCGGTTCAGGTTTGGGCCCGGTTCGGGCCTTGGCTTGGCCGGGCCTCAGTTCATGAAAGGGGAGGCCCGGAACCGGCCCAGGTAAGTCCAGGTCCGGTCCGGGCCTCGGTTCATGAAAGGGGAGGCCCGGAATTGGTCCGGGTCGGGTCTCGATTCTTTTTTTTTTTGGCTTTTCCTAATTAACCCCCAAGCCTCCCCCTCACCCCCAAACCACCTCAAATGACCCATCATACCCAGCCCAACCCAAAAATTTAAAAAAAAATCAAATAAAAAAAAATATGACCCGGACCGGGCCCGAACCGGACAGGCCGGTTCACGATTTAGGAGGCCCGGGTCCGGGCCGCCTACCTCACCGGGCCGGGCCGGGCCCGCACAGTAGCGAGCCAGTCCGGTTCCGGGCCAGTTGGCCCGGCCAGAGTCCACCCCTATGCAAAACTGCAAATGGTAACGTACCAAACCTTGAGATAACATTGACATTTTTTTTTCAAAAAAATAAATATGAAGGAAGATGCAGGCAAGAGCTGTCAAACGGGTCAACCCGACCCAACCCGACCCGTGACGGGTTATAGTCTATGTGGGTTGGGTCGGGCCAACCCGTTTAATGACAGGCCAGAATTTCTACAACCCTAACCCGACCCACCTAACCCGTGGGTTAAACGGGTTGGCCCGCGGGCCAATACGTAAAAAAAATATATGACAAAAAAATTAAAAATAATTACCCGAAAGTATATATTTATATTAGTAAGGAGTAACAAAGGAAATATAAGAAATCAAAATACTAAAAATTCAATACTTGTTAAGTTTAATTAAAAATATTAAATACTAGTTATACGGGAATTTGAAAACTATAAGAGGTTATGCGACAAAAATACTCATTGTATAAAAATAAAGATCTACATAACCTTTTGATTAATTATTCGTAAATAATGACTACTAATTGTTAAATATTGTATCGAACTTCACATAAAATATATGTTTCAACAATTTATTTGAAAATTTATTATAGAAATAAATATTATTTTGCCATGGTTGTAAATTTTATTTGTAATTATAATATTATTGGTAGTAAAAGGACAATATTTAAGATAATAAAATTTAAAACTATATTTTGTATATTGGCCCGCGGGCCAACCCGCAACCCGGTGGGCCAACCGACTTAAACCCACAACCCGCGTGGGTTGACCCGTGAAACCCGCGAACTAAATGGGTCAGAAATTCGCAACCCTAACCCACCAATAAATGGGTTTAAACGAGCCAGCCCGTGGGTTTCGGCCCACGAAGAATGCTTCAACCAGCTACCAAGTTTCTAAATTAACAAAATTTAATCCAGTGGAGTGAACATCACGTCGAGTTATTCCACCCTCCGTATAGATGAAATCTGAACATCAATTGGATTATTCAAATTTCATCTAGACGGTTGAAAGAGCAACTCCACGTGAAGCTAATTTCACCAGAGTCCATAAAAAGAAGCAAACGAGAATCATATGACATTTGCATCTTTGAGAGCACATAGCATGGCATAAGCAGCTGAGTTCTCTGCATCTCTGATCCGCAACTTTTCGTTTCCTAGAGCGAAGAGCACCCGAGACCTCTTATTACCAATCGTGATAGGTAAGCCATCACTGCTACCTACTTCAACTGAGCAGACAAAGTTCTTGTCGTGTGATGGGCCTATCTCCTTCTCAACACTGCAAACATTAGGACAAAGATTAGCCAGGAATTCACAACAGTTTGTTACAAATGTGGGGAACTGTTAACTAACAGCAAAAGTCAACTCCTGATTCCTGTTCATCTAGGAAACTAGAAAACAGAAAAATAATTTTTTCTTTTTTTTGTGTTCCAAATTTAGGAAACATAAAAAACATTTTTACTTCACAAAATGTTTTAGAATATATGCAAGGTATATTAGAAAAACACTTTTCCTTCATGAAAACTGTTAACTACAGAACATGTGTGATATTTGAAATGTCTTGGTAACAAAAATTGAAAAAAAAACACTAGAGAATAGAAAAAGATGACAGAAGTGGGCCTGCAAGTTTCCTTAACTTGAAGGCTTCATCTAACAAGTGCATACTTTGGTGCCAAGTGTCAAGGCAATAATAACTCAACGTAATGAAGCTTATTTAAGAAATCTTGGAATGATGCAAAGAGGTAGTAAAGCTCATTAAAGAAAAGAAGTCAGGTAATGCCGCCTAAAAGTGGTGTCTGACGTCTAAATTTTGGAGCAGACTTCTCCCCAAGGCAGTTTTTAAAAAATTACACAGAAAAAGGTTAAACCAAGAAATGAAACTGGTAATGCTAAATGTGAAATGCCTCCCAACCATGAACCTATACTATGTTACCCATAAACATGGGAAATCAGAACTTTTTAAGTCATATGAATTAAAAACTACTCTGGAAAATAAGTTTGTACCTGTAAGTTGGTTTCAACCATTTTTTTTTCCCACAAAGTTCATACAACTTCTGCTTTGCCCCATCATTGCCCTTAGTCTCATCGAACTCAAAGTTGATTTTTTCTACTTTATAAGCCAGCTTTTGTAGTGCGGCCTTTGCAGCATGAAGCCTCGCATTTTCCTTCTGCTCTGAAGATGAAGAGACTAGGTGTTCTCCATCAATGTAGATGCTTGCAATATTGTTCTGTCCAATCTTCTTGTGTCTTATATCAACACATTTTCCAACTTTCTGGCAATGCTCAAATAGCATTGTCACAGGCTGAGGTTGGTTTTGCAGCACATCAGGGGTGATTATTGGCTCCAGTAAGCCTCTAAAGACCTAGCACCAAATCGAAATGGAAGCCATATACAATGGATAAACTAATACATAAGGGGCTTTCGTTTATGCAGTTATTTCTGGATCAAGAAGCAAGACAAGTCAAATCAATAATACTCATCCTCAGTATTTTCAAAAAGAGATGCTTGAGTAGTTCCAAAAAAGAATAGAATAGGGTGCACAGTGAAACATTTATTTCTAATATGATTTATAAGCAGAGGGACTTGTAGCTCATGTTGCAAAAATCATATCCTAACGTAGCATTAGGTTATTCTTCCTTTGCCCACTTTCTGTTACTTCTAAAGTGCATTCATCATAAGCTCAGCATCATAGTAATCGCAAGAGACAACACAGACATGTGACAAAGAATTCGTGCATTATTTGCCACACAGCCAAACTTACCAAATGTGTAATAGATGGGGGCTGAATGTATAAACAGAGAAGTTGCATAAGAAAGAGGAATTTGACACTTAGGCTATAAAACAGTTGTGACTAACTGCTTAATGTGTGTGAGCAAGATGCCAAGAAACTACAATTGAAGCTAAAAAATGCAAGAGAATGACATTATTACATCAGCTAAATTGTTTTTTACATCAAATCAAGATTATTAAGCATTTTAATGCAAATCCCATAACGATATCTCCAGTTTGTGTTATGAAGCAAGCTCTTCAAAAATATGAAGACATAGAACAAATTCAAAATAGCCCTATGTCAGCCAATGCGATCCATTCATAACTGATCACAACAATGCTTATAGACTTCCACAACCTTCCATATTTCCATGTTTAGAGTGTCTGAGTAATGAAAGCCCCCCTTGAGGATATTTTTAGCCATATTAGACTAGCAATGAAAATGTGGCCATTATGCACCAATTAGCAGACACTGTACTACCTAATAGATTAGTCCTAAAGAAAAATAACAATTACTAAAATCAAATGAAAAAGAATAGATACAGACCTTCCAAAACTCCTTCAAATCGAACCCAACATCAACATATACAGCAGCGGCTATAGACTCAACAATGTCTGCAAGAATTTTAGGTGCTTTGATTGCTCCGCCATAGAATTCGGCCTCGTCTTCTTCTTGGACCACTAGCACAAACTCCTTCACCTAATACAACACAAATTCAGCCAAATTTCAATAAAAAAAATCACTTCTTTCAAACTAAGTCATCAATTCCCAGCCTTCTAAGGCAGGTACATCAAATTCTACCCGCATTGGAAGAAATAAAAATTGAAATAATGACCACCTTAGAATTCAAACGGTATGCTTAGCTATGATAATACACACAAGTATACCTTTTCTTCAAGAGAAGGGGCATTGTGGCGGACATATCTATAGAGGCTGTGACGGACAGCTACCCTAGCGAGCTTCTCGGTGCTGACATTGGCTGACCGAAGAAGAGAGAGTTGGCCGGGGTCAAGCTCGGGATAGGATAAATAGACGAAGTTGGAGATGGCCAGCCCTAAAGCCATGTCACCCAGGAATTCCAGACGCTGGTAAGAGGACGACTCTGTGAAAGAAGAGTGGGTAAGAGCTTCTTCCAGAAGCTTCCTGTTGTTGAAACGGTACAGCAAAAGGTGCTCCAGAGAGATAATAGAAGCCTCCATGTCGGACATGGGCGGTACCAGAGACGATAAACGCGCAAACGGATTCATAATCCGTAACCCTGTTCGGACAGTTATGGAACGTACAAGACAAAGAGGCGAGGATGAGGATATTGCGATTAATACGCTGCGTTATACTATACTTTAAGAAGTGTTTGGTTCGTACCTTCTGAAACATGGATTAACGGTGGAGGTTCAAGTTAGGGCTCCGGTGGAAAGCACCTTGTTGCTGCCGTTATTATGGCCGCCGCAGAGATAATTGGCAACCTCAAACGCACGCGCAAATTATATACAGTGAGATACGGAGTCATTGGCAACCTAATACTTCGCTCGGACATCTTTCCTTTTTTTATGATTCATAAAATTTTGTTACTTTATTTTTTAGGGAAATTTTATGGTGCAGGCACCTTCCGGGACGTTTTGGTGCATCTTACACCCGGCGCAAGTTGATTGGTTCTTTATTACACCTCATATATTTTCCTATTTTTTAAAAAAATTGCATAAAAGTCCTTCCACATTTACGTCTCCCCTTCCAAATCCATCTAACCTCTGCCTTATTTTCGGCCGCCTGTACGAGGAGCAGTGAACCCAGAAGGAAGACAAAGGAAGGAGAAGAGCTCCATCCCGCAAACTTTGCAAGTTCTTCCTCACCCTCCTCTCCCCTACATCCTCCTAGAAGAGTGCAGAGCCAATCTTCAACAAAATTGCAACCACGGGTGGCTTAATCGACTTCTCAAAGACTCTAGGTAGCCAGGTAGGCTACCTTTTCTTGTAAAGTTTTACCCTAATTGATGATTTTTTAAATTTCTTACCCTAATTTGAATGTTAGATGGTGAGTACTGGTCTATTGTCACTTTAATGGAACTACATATACTAATTTTTATTATTACAAGTAGATGATTAGGAAGTGGAATTGGCCTCTCTTTATTTCCATTTCATCAAGTATGATTACGCTTTTTTCCAGCTTCACTGAATTCCCGGACTGCTTATCGAACTCTTGAACTAACCAGGCTCTAGATTCTGGAGGCAGCCACACAAACTCTCGTCAACTTTAGGGAATGATGCTGGTAAAGTAAATCTTCTTATAGTTTATTGTAAACTTTTTCTTTCTTTGTCAACCAATTCAAGTTTGATCAGCTCTAATCATCTAACTGTGTGATAATTTTAGCTGTGACTTTAATTTATTAGCCCTTATTTATAGTTAAGATTGTGAGCTGCTTTGATGTCCATTTCATGTAATTAAATATTAACTTTTAGTTGTTAGATAATTTGAAGATAAAACTAATTCGCTTTTGCTTATAAGTTAAAAAAACTGCCTTTTCACTATTTGAATGGCAGAAATTAATAATAATTTTCCAATCACTTCGTATAACACACTGAACTTATATGTCAACAAAAAACACCAACACATTGCTATGAGATTTTAATAAGTCCCTTTAGATCTTTTAACATTCATACGAAGTAAGATAGACATTCAGACACGTACATTGAGTGGAAAATGCTACTCCAAATCTCCAATAATCCTTAAATAAACTTTCAAAATTCTTTTTTCTCTTCTTAGTAAATTTAGTAATTACTGATTGAACTATGAGAATCTTGATTGATTCTCTAGAAATTTGATGGCCTTTTGCTTTGATGGTATCAAACTGACCAAGACATTCTTGATTAATTTTACTCAATTGCCAAGGGGGTTATTTTGCAGAAATGGTCCGTAAAAGCTGAAACCTTTAGGTTATAGAATCCTTAATTTCACCCTATAGCATTGAAGAGTATGCACTACCATTGGCTTAGGCGGTAGACTTGAGGAGGTCTCAAGGAGATGAGCGGCGACATCAACAAACTGCATACCATGATATCTGAGATTTTATCCACCTGCTATCGTTCCTTGAGTATATGATGCATCTGTGTAGAGATTTAGTTTTTTAAATGAGACTTGATCCAAGTCTTTATCTTATACTGAAAATGTGACTTGGAATTGATGGTATAAGGACATCTACTTGAAGTTCTGTGAAGGAAAAACATGAGTTTAGAGTAGTAAATTCTCTGTAATCATAAATTGATGTTGTGATAATAGTTTCCAGGAAAATTTTACGGTGCCCTCACTTTGTGAATTGTTTCGGTGCATCTAACATTTGTCACATTGTGAGTGGTTTTTTATTCCACCTCACACATTTAGTCCTTACTAGAGTTTAGTTTTCGTATAGTTTCGTAAAGAACCTCACTTCCAACTCCTATTTAACAGTCTCTTTCTGATTTTGCTTTCGCCAACGCAAAGAACAATGACAAGAGAAACATAAGTATTAGGGCAAATGGTTGATTGCAGGTGTGTATAGTTGCAAGACCAGAAGGAGAAACAGATGGAGGCGCTTGACCTTGTCTATTCTTATAATTGGTAGTGAGTGCTAGTGTTACTAACTTTTATTTAGGCTCCACTATTTATAATGACGTGTTGGACTTCACACTAGTTTTATGATCCGCACATGCTAGTTTGATGCACACCTGCTATTTCAATTCTAATTACTATATGTGTTGTTCTTCACACTATTATTATAAGTGTACAAGAATTTGTCCTCTAAAGTAATCAGTAAGTTTTGATGTAATTGAAGTGTAAATAATCGGTGTTAACTATAATTGAGTCTTTTATTTGAACGTCCAGTTTATAAACAAAAGGGAAGAAGCGGTGGAAGACGTAGCAGAAGTGGACAAAGTGGAAGAGGCCGATTGTGAAAGAGTTGGAAGAAGCGGAAGAGGTGCTAGGGCTGCTAGTGGTACCACACCAGGAACTCAAGAATTAGTTGAATAAATGTAATAGGTAGCCTATTGATTGTTTTTTCATGTATTATGAGGGAAGAAATGGCTGGTTTTTTTTAGGAGCAATACTTTTGGATGTTTTTTTTATCACATCTTATTTGTGAAGAGCTGAATATTTGCACTTGTTCATTGCTACGTTCATATAGTGATTCCTATTAAAACATCAATTTTATATTCTTCCCTTCAACTTTAAAGGAAGGAAATCGCATGCATTATCATTCTTTGAAGAAATCAGAATTCATTTGTTTAACTTATGTGTGCAACAGAAGTGGGGTTTTAAGAACTCAACCCCCAACTTTCAAGGTAGAATTGTCATGAGGAATCATAGGCCTGATCTATTGAAGCATAACAGGAGAATTGTTTTTTCACAAGAAAAACTCATACTTTCTTAGTGCTAAACAGACTGCTTATACTTGCTCATTCAGAAAAAAAATGAAATGACCAAGAGCTGCACATAAAGCTTCAGTCCCTCATAGAAAAAAGATAAATGAAGTAACTAGTAAAGTTCAAGGAAATTCTTAACCTGCATAGATTCTCTTTACTATACCTGTTGATCTGTTACATATAGGGGCACTTCTTCAAGTGAGATCCATCCATCCTTTCTGGTATTAAGAAAAAGCATGATGATGTAATAAGGAAAAATGAAAACAAATACGATTACAATTAGAAATGCAAATCAAGGCTAATATATCTAACATACAATTTTGATCAACAATTAGTGCAATATGCAAGGATTTCATAAGAAGACCGCTCAGGGCTTCCAAGAACTCACCTTTCTGCCCAACATATGTGGAGCTAATCCATTGATGGAACCCCTGTGAGACTTCAAGTTGTGGCCAATAACAATAAATTTTTTGGGAGGTCTATGTGAATGGAAGGAGTGGAAATGGGAAGGGGACGCTGACACGAAGACGATTGGGTTGCCTAGGTATCACTTCGCAAGTTTTTTATATAAAATGTCTTACATGAAATATAATTCCAATAGAAGTGTTCCATAAGTACAATACGTACACCAAAACCTTATACAATAACAAGGAACTGAAAAGCTCTCTTCAGTGCAAGGTCACTTCCTACACAAGTGAACCAAAACAGAAAGGAATACACCTTTCAAAAGTTTTAGAACTTCAAAAAGTTTGCTCTCTCTATTTATAGAAAGATGTTATGGGCTAGTTGAAGATCTAAAGTCAGTCCTGCTGAGTATTAGCATATTGTCAATGCCTAATGAATGAGTAGCTATAGTTTGAAAAGCTCCTGCAATAAAAGAAAAATCACTAATAGTAAAAAAAGGTGCACCTCATCTCATGGGAATATTAAACAGTAAGTGTTGTAGGATCTCAAATGAACAAATAGATTCAAGTGGCAGGTTTTACACTAAAAGTTAATACGAAGTAAGTTATACATTAAAAGATACTGCATACTAAAACTAATATTGTTTACGGTAGAGAGCAACTAGTTTAAAAAAGTCAATTAACATTTTAATAATAAATAAATAAAAAGAAACAAGCTTCATATCGGTAAATTTTAAAACTGTGTTGTCTCCCCATCTTAAATGTGTCAAGGAAATGCTATAATAATGCATGTTATTTTTAAGTGGAAAGTTTAAAGGAAATAAATCATGTTATTGTTCATTACCTTATTATAATAATGCATAATTTGCATGGGATTAAAAAGTGTCATAATATAAACTATATTAACTTAACATATGCAGTTAATCAGTTATTATAATTCATAACAGAAACTTATTCCTTCACACCTATTATAATAATTCATAACCCATTTCTTCTTCTCCCCCTTCTGGGCTTCAAGAAAATGTTTTTGCATCCAAAATCTCTTCACTGGTTTTTTATTCTTCCAATTCATCACTTTAATTATCTCCTGAATCTATCTTGTGCTTGAATTGTAATGGCCCCAAAAGTCAGACATCCCGGCCGACCTCAATTTAACCCTGTAGTACTAGCCTTTCACATAATTAGTTAAATGCTTTGTGCGTTCGAAATACTAGTTAGGATTTTTTGGGCGATTGGCCAGCGAAAGCCTACGGACAAGGTTCCCAGATGCCAAGGAGGCAATTGAAAGATAAAGTTGAACAAGATTAGAGCAGCACTTCTGAGAACGGAAAGTAGAGAAACCAGGCATGGACAAATTTGCGAACATCAGCTAAATAAGGATCACATTTGTAATTGTAGAATTTTTTTAAATGAATTGCTGACGTGGAATTAATACCAAATAAGATTATGCCACCTGTTGAGTGCACCAAAACATGCAGTAATGTAGATGCACGGGAGAGCTACCCTATTTTTTAATCAATTAATTTAGACTTAATTGTCAAAATAAAACTAAAAGCTTTTCATTTTGTATAAATAGGACCAAAAGGTAAATTATGTTTTGATATGATTAAGTATGTGTGTGTTGGGCAAATATACCATTGTTGCTATTCAAATGTTTTAATTCATAAAAAATAATAAATAATAATACAAATTTGTAAAAAATACTAAAAAATTAATAAAAATATTTAAATAATAATAATTAAAAAAATAAAAA